AATGCTGTTCGAGATTAAAATTGGTGGGTCAAGAAGAATGTAAATCATTAACTTCATACTCTTTGCAAAGCTTCAGAGTACAAACTAATCTTATCTACTTGTGCAGGTTGATAATTTTGCAAAAGCTCGTCTTGGCAGGTCAATGTATACATGATAAATCTTACAATTAAGAGATTAGAATGGGTAGATCAATATTAGGAATGCATTAATTTATACCTTCTACAAAGCTTCAGTATACAAATCTTATTTATAAATGCAGGTCGATACTTCTGCAAAAAAAAGCTTCATTAATTTATACCTTGACAAACAAGCTGCAACACTGGTAATTGTCAATCGAATCACGGTTTTAGGCTTGTTAATCCTTTCTTTTGTGGATTAAAATCTTTCTTCTATGCAGATTTTTTAACCGCTCAAATCTACTACTAGCAGATATTGTCTCTTTGCGCTTCTTCTCAAGGTTTTTAAAATGCGTTTGCTAGGGAGAGATTTCCACACCCTTATAAAGAATGCTTCGTTCTCCTCCCGAACTGATGTAGGATCTCACAATCCACTCTTATAAAGAATGCTTCGTTCTCACTGACACACTTATTCCAATCGATGTGGGATCTCGTAGATTTCTTGCACTATCGATGGAGCTATCTCGTTTTCTCTACGAGGTACTTCCAATCACCTTTTTGTTAAAGTTCGTTTGATTTTTTCATAGGAATATGGCACAAGCTCCTTCAGCGCCAAGGTGAGTATCATTCCTTCCATTTTGATAAAGGTTATAGCTTTTTCTAAGAATATTATGAGTTTTTTTAGCACTATTGTGCGTAGTACTCAATGTTGATTCTCAAGGTATTTTTTCCACTTTTAAGTTCTACTTTAAAAGTAGAGACACTTCGCATTTTTAAATTAAAATTAATAATCATCTTTCAACTAACCTCGTCTTTTAGTCTTTGTTGATGTGTAAAATGGTATTCTTTAATATTTCTTTTATCTTCTATAAAATATAAATAGTTTAGAATATTCAGCCTTTAATATTATTGGGGTTAAAATTAATGGCGTAGAGCATAGAGGCATTAGTTGATGGCTTCCACGTGCACAATCCATAGTTAACTTGCATGCATGTGCATTTATAGTATGGAAACAAAAATATGTCAGGTTTTCTTGCTTTTATGGTAGTGCTTATAATTTTATATGGTATCGATGTGAATAGTCATATTTCATTTATTTATGTATGCATACCTACCCATTTATAACATTAATAAAATACAAACAAAAAAAATTACAAAGAAATTACAAATTTTGTTTGAAGAAATTTCATAAATAGTTGAAACAACGTGACTATTTAGCTAGCCATTATTTGTCTATATCCTTGAATGTTTACCTGTCACGTTTAATTTTGGAACTTTTCCATTTTTTCTATTTCCTTTGATTTTTTTTTTCTCTATTCCCTTTCGAAGAGGTAAAACATATTTTTTCTCATTCATCTATCTATTCTCGAACTGTAACCAATGTTTTTTTTGTGTTTTGAGCTTTGCTCTTCTCCCTCATATTGATTCATGTCTTTTTGTATTAATTCGATATTCAAATCAATTTCTTTATGCAAATAGAAGAGGGCATAGGCTACGTTCGGTAAATATCTTCACCCTATAGATTACTTTTATTATTGTTATCTTTTAAATGTTATGTTTTCGGGGTAAAATATGATTTTGATTGTAATAGCTGTATTTCATGTGTTACTTTTTGCCATCCTATTTTTGTTGCTTCATTACTTTGCTTTTTAAAAATATGTCGGGCTTTCTTGCTTTTATGGTAGTGCTTATAATTTTATATGGTAACGATGTGAATAGTCACAGTTCATTTATTTATTTTTAAATCTTCTGTGTATGCATACCTACCCATTTATAACATTAATAAAATACAAACAAAAATAATTACAAATATAGTTGGAAGAAATTTTAAGAGTATGACTATTTAGCTTGCCATTCTATATCCTTGAATGTTTACCCTCGCGTTCAATTTTGGAACCTTTCTATCTTTTCTATTTATTTTTATTTTTTTTCTCTATTCCCTTTTGACGAGGTAAAACATATTTTTTCTCATTCATTTATCTATTCTCGAACGGTAAACAATGTTTTTTTTGTCTTGCAGCTTTGCTCCTCCCTCATGCTGATTCACGTCTTTTTGTATTAAATCGATATTCAAATCAATTCCTTTATACAAATAGAAGAGGGCATAAGCTATGTTCGGTAAATATCTTCACCCTATAGATTACTTTTGTTATTGTTATCTTTTAAATGTTATGCTTTTGCCATCCTATTTTTGTTGCTTCATTACTTTGCCTTTTATTTTGAGTTTAGGGTAAAAAATTCACCCTATAGAATTTTCTTAAACTAGAAGTAAAAAATTAAATGCTCTAAGTAATTAATTAAAATTATTTTGTACTCATATAAACATTAAAAAAAATGGATTTAATTAATATACAAATTTAGAGCTTTATTGGTTATATTTCATTTCTTTATTTAACATTAACTATATCCATTTCCCTTATTAAATTAAAAGAATTCTTAGACCTTAATTAATTTAATTATTTAAACCCACTTGCATTACTTTCTTTAAATTAATCATTAGAATATCTTTAGACATAACATAAAATCATCAACATTTCATCTAACATCAACAAGTCAAAGTTGTAATCAATTAGCAAATTAGCAAATCCTTGAGTGGTTACTTTTTGGTCATTTAGTTAATTAATACTTTTTTCTTTCTATCAAAGACGTGAATACAAGAAAGTGGGCCATTCTTGTTTTTTTCATTTTTTTATCAAATGATTTATAATTGAACTCATTAGATTTTAAATTTTAGGTCAAATGAATTTAAGTTATTTAAAATTTTTAAATTAAAAATGATTTTCATTTTGCTAAAAATGGTTAGAACTCTTGAAATAAAAAAAATAGTTTTTAAATTTTAGTTAAAACGGGAAGAATATAAAACTAAAGATTTAATATTTTTGTAGAACTAGATTGTCATTATAAACTAAAATGAATTACAATCTCGATCACATTTTAGAGATACTAAACAATCATAATCGTCCAATAAAAACTTGTTCGAAACCTTGCCAATGAAAAAATGTCCATGTTTGTGGACAAGTGAAGCGAAGGCTCGAATCTAAAAATCAAAGGAGAGATTAACCATTGGTTTGAATTAATCAACAAGGTAGCAAGATTGAATCTATGAAGAGATTGAGGTCAAAGTTAAATAGAGCTCAAACACATCTTAGCTAAAATGAAGCTACGAGTCATCTATGAGAAACTATATTTCTTATGATCCAAAAGGAGATGGATAACATGTAAGACAATATTCATAACACGAGGTTGAATGACTGAATTGACTTCTCATATTCCTTATGATCCAAAAGGAGATTGATAACATGTAAGACAATATTCATAACACGAGGTTGAATGACTGAATTGAGCAATCAATTCTCTCAAACCATGAAGGATGATTTTATTACCATTAAAAAAAAAGTCTTACATGCCAAAAGAAATAAGAATACAAGCAAATGCAAGGTAAGTTAACTTCTAAACTAGCTTTCATCAAAGTCTTGATCAACCTCCATGTCACCATTACCACCATCACTAGATTCATCTGAATCCAAAATAAATAAGGGTCATACCCAATCTAGGCCAACCCTTTGCATATGATGTAAAATTTAATGTTTAAAGGAAGACCGAAGAGGCTTCCTGACTAAGCTCGACCCCCTAATCATAACCCAGCTTTCCAATGTCGAGGATCCTTACAACATGAGCTCTAATTAGAGATTGAAAGCAGAAAAACAAAGGGTTGAATGAGAAATAAATAAAGAAATCGGACATAGAAGTGATAGAGGACCCCATAAGACTCCGATGAAGCATAAGCCCATGGCCAACTGTAAAACTTCAAGGTTAACGCAATTCCAGTCTAGCATCGATTTTGTCGATCTTCTCCAATTGAAGGGAGATAAGTTCGATAAGTTTCATTCCGTCCATCAAAATTTTAAAGCTATCCTCGACACTTTTGACAATTTTACTAAAATTTTATTGTACCAAATATCAAGCCACGTTTTTTCTCTCCGAACAAATCAAGTAGATGCAAACACGTTTTTTTTTTCTATTCTTATAGGATTTTCAGTAAACTAACTTGGTTTTTTTAATTTAAAAATGAGGTTGTAATTAGTTTTTTTTAATTCTCAAAAACTTTTTTTTTCAGTTGACTAAAGTTTCTAAACATTTTTAAAATTAAAATAATAAATAAATTTGAGCTTAATATTTTTTTCTTTACTATTTTACTTTACTTTCAACCCATTTTTTAGGTCATAAAAGCATTTTTAATTAAAAAAAAATAAACAAAAAATTATAACTATACTCTTATTAAACTTTTATATTCATATCCATTTATTAGGCCAGTCAAGTCCATCTTCCTAAACTTTAATAAATTCAAAAACTTTATTTTATTTATATAAAAAATATTTTTTAAAAAAATTAAAAATTAAAAATTCTATTAAATATAATATTAAAAAAATATATAATAGAATGTTAAATGTGGAATATATATAAAAAAAATAGGTTGACTCAACTTCTAACTTAAAAAAAATACAAAACATTATAATTAAAAAAAAAAAAAACCTAGCATTATCGTAATTCAACTTTCCCATAATATATAATATGAATTAAAATATTAAAAAATACGAGCTTGTCTATATAATCTGATAATCCAATTAACTCAAATTATGAGTCAGATTTTTTTTTTTTTAAAATTTGAGTTAGATTGAATTTTTGGAACAATTCAACTAGTTGACTTTCTTTTGTCCGGTCAACTCCACCAAATGAAAATAAGTTTACCATCCAACCTACTCTATTCAGAATATTTGATGTTTGTAACTGATTTGAAAAATAATAATAAAGATTAAAAATTAAAGTTGAAAAAATTATATTCTTGGGTTAGACAGCTAAGCTAAGCAAAGTGGGGGAGAATGTAAAGGGAAGTGGACCTTAGTATCATCAATGGTGGAAAGAAGTACAAAATCCCTTTACTCATAAAGCCTTTAAGCCCACCGTTTTCTTCAATTCCATTTTTCCCTCTTTGCACATTCGCCGGAATCCTCCATTGCTGCCGTTCTCCGATGAGGTCAAGCCGCTTATACTCACTGATTCGCTTTCTTTGATTCCTCTGTTTCTCGATTGAACCAGAAGAAGAAGAAGAAGAGAAGAAGACGATGTCAATATATGATTCCTCATTCTTTAACACGGCGCTCTCTAAACGGACCTCCATTTTCGGCCTTCATCTCTGGGTTGTAATCGGAATCGTAGTCGGAGCCTTAATAGTTCTCGCACTGTTTCTTCTTTCACTTTGCCTCACTTCTCGCAAGCGGAATCGCCATAAGAACAAAATCCGTTTCCCTAAGTCCACAACCGACCATTCTCCTCCCATTTCGAAGGAAATCCAGGAAATCGTCCATAACGCGGTACCGGATCATCACCACCATGTGCAGCCGGAGATTCATGTCGAGATCGGAAAATTGGAGCATCGAGTTGTTTTCTCTGATAGGCCGTCTAGTGGAGAGAGCAGAGGCGCTGTGAGTGAAACTGCTTCTCTTGGATCTGGTACTGTTGGGCCTGAAGTTTCGCATCTTGGTTGGGGCAGATGGTATACTCTTAGAGAGCTCGAGGCGGCCACTAATGGCTTGTGTGAAGAGAACGTGATTGGAGAAGGTGGGTATGGGATCGTGTATTTAGGCACTTTGGGAGATGGTACAAGAATTGCTATCAAGAACCTCTTGAATAACAGGTGATCTGGTTCACTGATTCTCTGATGTGTTATCGTTGATTTCTTACTTTGATTTATTTGCTGCTGCAACCTGAGAGTTCCATATGTTCTTAGTTGGGATTCGTTCTGTTCTGTTTGGTTTCTAGAAAACGAAGCCAATTATATGTTATAGATTAGAAATTGTAGGGAATGTTTCAAACTGTTATAATTTTATGTGTTTTCTGATTTCCCCCATGTTCTTCTTGGTTTAAAGATCATATAGATACTGAAATTGAACCTATTTGTTACTAGGGGTCAAGCTGAGAGGGAATTTAAAGTGGAAGTTGAAGCAATTGGAAGAGTAAGACACAAGAATCTTGTCAGGCTGCTAGGATATTGCGTTGAGGGTGCATATAGGTACTGTTGATTTTCTTTAAATGCAAGATAGTTTTTGGTGATTCGAACGTATTTTTATGAACTTTTGCTTTCGTTCTTCAGAATGCTTGTTTACGAGTACGTTAACAATGGCAATCTAGATCAGTGGCTTCATGGCGACGTCGGGGATGTGAGCCCCTTGACGTGGGAGATTCGTGTTAACATCATACTTGGAACAGCAAAGGGGTATATACTTGTGTTAATGAGGATTTTAGCTATTGAATCATGTGATTCTACTCATGTTCATTTCCTTTTTGATTTCTATTGTTTAGATTAGCCTATCTTCATGAGGGTCTTGAACCAAAGGTTGTCCATCGTGATGTAAAATCTAGCAACATATTGCTTGATCGTCAGTGGAATGCTAAAGTATCTGATTTTGGGCTAGCCAAGCTTCTTTGTTCCGAAAGGAGCTATGTGACGACTCGTGTAATGGGTACATTTGGGTTAGTTCCTATCTTATAATCGTTTTTTACTTTCTATCGTCCCTTAGATGGAAAGTTAAGTGGTGGTGATGATGTCTACAGCTATGTTGCGCCCGAGTACGCTTGCACGGGAATGTTGAATGAGAAGAGTGATGTTTATAGCTTTGGAATTCTAATTATGGAGATAATTTCTGGGCGGAGCCCTGTTGATTATAGTAGACCTCAAGGAGAGGTTAGTTTTTCCTTGCATCTAATTGCTGGATTATGATCAGTTCATGCATTTCTCTTCTGCTGCTTATTCAGTTTAAGTTAATGTCATAATGGCAGGTGAATTTGGTGGATTGGTTGAAAGCAATGGTTGGAGATAGAAGATCCGAGGAAGTGGTTGACCTCAAGTTGCCGGAGAAGCCTCCTTCCAAAGCTCTAAAACGTGTTCTGCTGGTTGCTCTTCGGTGTGTCGATCCAGATGCTTCGAAGAGGCCGAAAATGGGACATGTCATCCACATGCTTGAGGCAGATAATTTGCTGTCTAATGATGTATGAAGCTTCTGGTTCTCTCCTTTCTCTTTTAAAGATTTATCCAACTCAACCCATCTTTTACTTCTTTGTAGGAATACCGGGTTGGTAAGGATGCTTCTCATTCAACTCAAGGTCATCAACACGCGCACCGGGCCGTTCCGAGACGAGTTAACCATCAGAAAGATGAAGGAACATGTTCTAATATAAGTGAAGGTGACAGTGATGGAAACATTCAACATCCAAGTAGGTGGAGATAATAACGCACCACACTAGCACAATTACATGACTAACTCTTCAGTTTCATCCATTCTTCAGTTAGGTTGCTTTTCTAATCTTCAAACCAATTAGACTCATTCTTACAGAAGCTATAAGAATCACCCCACATCCGTTCTCGTTAGATATGCGGCGTCTGCTCGGTCTCCTCAAATCCTAGTTGCTTCCTGTCTTGATATCGATTTACAAAACTTTTGCTCCTGTGAGTATCCAAATTGTCTACACCAAACATTGAACAGCGTTTATGTTTACATTAGGCTCATTCTTACCGAAGCTATAAGAATCACCCCACATCCGCTCTCGTTACATACTCAGCGTCTACTCGGTCTCCTTGAATCCTGGTTGCTTTCTGTCTTGATATTGACTTAACAAAACATTTTCTCCTGTGAGTATCCAAATTGTCTACACCAAACATCGAGCAGCGTTTATGTTTACATTAGGCTCATTCTTACAGAAGCTATAAGAATCACCCCACATCCGTTTTCATTAGATACTCGGCGTCAGCTCGGTCTCCTTGAATCCTGGTTTCTTTCTGTCTTGATATTGGCTTAACAAAGCTTACTGGGTCACAGAGTTTGATCATCTTTTACCTGTGTGAGTATCCAAATTGTTTACATTAGGCTGCTCGAAGTTTCATCCTAAGCTGGCTGTTGATGCTTCTGAAAGGATCAATCCTTTGGTTTATCTGCCGCCATACATTGTTCTTTCAAGCACTTTGCCTGCCACTCTTTATCCAATGCTTGCTTTTGGAGTAACTTTATGGAGTTTGGGCCATTTCTTTAACATAATTCTTTCTTTTCCAGTTATTCTTACAGTGTTGTCGGTCTGATTTATAAAGAAGATTTGAATTACTTTATGGCTGCTAACTCTGTATGCATCCATTTGCAGAGATGGATCCAAGTGTTATCGACATTCTCGACGTTAAGTCGATATATTTATTGACAATTTTGAGGTTATCCCGTTTATAATTCTTTTGTATTATTTCTTTTGAGGTAGAAAATTTTATTGACAATTTTGAGGTTATCCCGTTTATAATTCTTTTGTATTATTTCTTTTGAGGTAGAAAATTCGAACTTCTTACCTTTTTGGTCGTTGATACATGTTTTATGCTAGTTGAGTTATGCTCATGTTGGTTCGTTTAGATTTATTAACGTATTTTGTAACGAAGCACTTTTTCTGCCACAATCTTAGTGAGAAGCCAAGAGTTGCTAATTTGCATTCAATTGGCAAATCTATAAGCACATGAGTTTTGCTCGGTTGGTTTTGATTCCGATCGAGAACTAAATTGAACCATTTGATTTTTGTAAAACGAGACCAAACTAGTATCTAGAGGTGCATAACTAAGGGTGAACGTGAGTCGTTTGGTCGGTTTTCTTGATTTTGTGTGATTAAAAAAACATAGTAAATGTGGAAATCAATCTATATAGTATATATAAAACTTAATTCTATTTTTATCTCATTATAATTAGAAGTACACCTTGTATAGTAATAATATCTATTTTTAATATGATAATAAATAGGATTTAAAAGAACAAAAGAGAATAAATAATTTAGGCAGGCACGGGATTTTCTCACGTCAATTGTGAAATCTCACATCGGTAAATATTTCTTATAAGGTATGGAAACCTCTTTCTAGTAGATGCGTTTTAAAATCGTGAGGTTGACAGCGATACATAACAAGCTAAACGAGATTAGAGATCGAGATTATATTTTTTGTCCCTGACTCTGCCCCCCTTACTTAATATATATATATTTATATATATACACACACGCCACAACTAGCACAAAGCTAATTTATTATATACTTATATTATATTAGTTGATGGATGATGAAAGTTCCACCGCTAATTTAGGGAATGATAATGAGTTTATGATCAAGGAATACTATCTCTATTGGTGTGAGGCCTCTTGGGGAAGCCAAGAGCAAAACCATGAGAGCTTATACTCAAAGTGGACAATATCATACCATTGAAGCCAAGAGCAAAACTATGAGAGCTTATACTCAAAGTGGACAATATCATATCATTGTGGAGAGTCGTGTTCATCTAATATGGTATTAGTGTCATGTCCTAAACTTAGTCGTGCCAATAGATTGGTAAATTCTCAAATGTTGAACAAAGGACTCCAAAAGGGAAGAAGTCGAGCCTCCTCGAAGGCATAGTAAAAAATGGCTGATGTCACGGTCATGCTTGTCTGCACGACAGACGTCCCAGTCTTGCTTGTCCGAGTCGGTTGACAGGGGATGTCACGGTCATGCAACCATGTACAATATCATCTAACATTAGTATCCTTTTATTTCTTCACTTATTTATTAAATAAATAGATATATAATATTTGAAGTGTGATATACTATTTTAGTAATTATTGAAATTTAAATTGGTAGAAATTATGTCGGCGGGAATTGAGGTTGAAATAGGATACAGTTGACGGGGACGGTGAACGCTCCTCTTCTTGTGTTCTCCGTCTCTGTCAACATCACTACACCATCAAAATTTTGAACAAAATATCTTAAATTTTTAAAGAAAATATCTTAAATTTTTAAAGAAAATATCTTAAATTTTTATAAGTAATTAGGTAATAAAAACATCTTAATTGGTCAAACATTTTTTATAAGATAAGGAACCACTACAAGTAGAGTAAGATTCAGATTACCTTGTTGATAGAATATCTCAAGGTAAAAACATTGTTTGAGATTCGAATCACTCCACAAGCAAGATCGATCATGTCTAGATTGAATGATTCTTGTTGATCAAATATTTCAAACACTTGTTTGAGATTCGAATCACTCCACAAGTAAGATTGATCATGTCGAGCTTGAATGCTTCTATATGTAACCTAAACTACATAAAAGAAATTTAGTCATTAGCTAAAGAATAACAAGTGCTTCTTTTACTACATTTTCCAAGTCTCTTACAAATACAACATACATGACTTTATATAGTCTCAAAATGAAATTAGTAGACATTCCAAGAATTGTAAAATTCATACTTAATGGTCATAATTAACCATTATGTAATTGTAAAAAATAAAAAGTCCTAAAAACTCTAAATTGCTCACCCAAAATTTATAACAATCAAACTTCACTCTTACCCTTTAATTATTCAACAATGAGACGTAAAATCCACACCGTCCAAACCTGGAAGATGTCTAACGGTCACATTTGTATTAATTTCACCAACCAAAGCCACTCAGAATCCGCCACGTTTAATGCCAGAAGCCTGTGATCTGTCTGTGAGTAACTTCGCAGTCATTTTAGCGCATTCCCCAACGGAACTAATACGGCAAGAGATTAAATTCTACATAACGGTCACGGACGGAAAAGAAAACGATCGGTGTAACGTCAACATCCAATCAATTCTCTCCACGTATCTTCTTTTCACACAATTTCCTTACCTCTTCGTTTAGGTTATCGTTGCCTTTATCTTCGAACTCTTATCCTTTTCCACGCGAATTCAACATCACCTGGCTGCGATAGTTTCTTGGAAATTTCCTTTGCCCGAATCTGGTAGGGGTCGCTCCATCTTTTTTTTTTTTTTCTTTTTGAATTATTATGTTTGGTTTAGATCTAAGTTTCGATGTGTAATCTAGGGCTTCATGCTGGCGATTTCTGGAGGGATTTTTTTTTTTCTTCTTTTCATACGCTTTGATTGTTCGTAGATCTACGAATTGGGATATATATATATATATTTAGCTTTAGTTTCTTGGATTCGCTCTAACTTTTGCTATTTCAAGCAGATACTTGGTTTTTTTTTGGGTGTAAAAATGGATTTCTGGAAGTTTTTGCTTATTAGAATGTTCTGAATGTTTTGCGTGTTCTACGTGGAGAATGATTTGTTTATGCGGTGCAATTTGTTGATATCAGGTGTAGCTTTTAATGAAATTTGTGTTGCTGAATTCAGGATTGGGAAAACCCTTTTTTGCTAGCGAAAATTTGAATAGGTTTTTGGAATAAATTTCATATTTGGGCTTTTTGTGTCGTTTTTTTTTTTTTTTTTTTTGACGTTTTCATTCTGTAGGACGAGAATTTAACATTCTATGGTTAAAATTAGCTATTGGGGTTGTTTGCAAGCGGGCCTCTTGGCTGTGTTTAGTGATGTTAGTTGTTGCTTTATCCAGTTGGTTCATCAGGGTCTTACTTCTGCCTTAGATTGGCTTAATTGATCATGCTATCCCTGGAAATTCCATTAAAGGCTTGGTTCTCCTGCACCAATTGTATCCGAAACTCTATTACTTGATGATTCTGTGTGATTGTGGCATGATGATGGTTATCTTGAATTTTTTTCCAAATGGAAGCTCATCCTTGGATTTTATACATCTTGTAGTTAGTGTTATACAATGAGCCGATCACAAGAGCCGCCCCACCGGCTATTCTTTCCTTTCGGGAATCCTTTCCGTGCAAGAACACCCAAGGGTTCAAAATTGTCTTCCAAACTTGTTTTTCTGCTAGCCACTTTTGAGGATTCCTTGGCAGAGGGGCTGAGAAAGCTCACTTCAAAATCAGAAAATGACATACTTAGCTTCTCATGGATGGCATTAGCAATGAAGCTGCTTTGCGAAACTCACGTAGATGTAAAAACACTTATAGAAGAGCTTGAGCTCCCTGTGTCTGACTGGGATGAGAAATGGCTAGATGAGTACCTGGACATCAGTGTGAAATTACTTGATATATGCAATGATTTTAGCTCTGAGCTCTCACAGTTGAATCAGGGTCATCTGGTACTCCGGTGTGCCTTGCACAATCTGGCGTCTACATCTTTGAACCAGTTAGTTCATGCTTGTTCTTCGTTGGATGGATGGAATCAACATATTAGTAACAGAACCTCCAGAGTTAAGAGCCATTCTCCTATTTTGGACCGTCTTAAGGGATCGCTTGATCTTCCGAAAGTTCAGAAGAACTCAGCTAAAGGCAAGGTTTTGATGCATGTAATGTATGGAGTGAAGGTGGTGACTCTGTTTATTTGCAGTGTTTTAGCTTCTGCTTTTGCGGGTTCGTCCGTAAGTTTGTTATCCATCAATATTCCGGATACATATAGATGGGCTCAAGCTTTTACTGAATTACAGAAAAATGTAAATTCCAGTGGAAGTTTTACTGTATTGAGAGAGCGTGATGCAATGGATGAGAGTGTTAAAAAATTGCATTCCATGATTCAAGGAAATGTGGATGGCGGCATGAAAGTAGAAGAATTCCAGAATCTGGTTGTAGATTTGGGGAGGGAGGCAGAAAAGCTTACACAAAGTGTTGATCATCTTACTAAACAAGTGGATGAGTTTTTTCACGTTGTTTTATCTGGACGAGATGCATTGCTTTCAAATCTTAGAGAAAGTGAGACGGTACTTGATCAGGGATCGGGGGAGCTGCGTACAAGGCATCTGTGACGGAGTTCGAGCTTGTTCCTTTATATAAAAGGGTTAAACTGGTTATTTTCTTATCTTTTAATTTGCTAATGTACAATATCTTGCTTGCTTTTCATAGTATAGCCTGTGCAGTAATGCGTTATGTTATTGTACTGTTACCGTGGTTTGATCGTGTAACGTTGTTCTGTGGAATGAGAATGAAATGGAAAAGTATATCGAGTTTAAGTAAAAGACCTTTCGTACTGCATTAACTTCATTACTAATTCTTTCTGCTCAGTTTCTACCTTGTTAATATCATATGCTGAAATGATGAATCCATAAGTAAATTTATGTATTTTGTAAGTGTTTCTGTATTGAATTGTTTTTGATATGTGGATACTATGTTGTATGGGCTGTATGGAGTTGGAATAGGAGCTTACCTAAATCTTCTTGTAGTTCTTTGGCACACGATACTATTTAACCTCTGTAAAAGCTTGCTTTCTGAACAATGTAGTGAAGATGTTGATGATATCACATACTATTTTTGCAGCTGTTGGATTATGATCTCATGTCTCTTGATCTTTGTTAACTGATGTAGTGACAGAAGGAAAAACGATCAGAAGGTTTTCCTGCAGTGCAGAAATCTAGAACGCCAGCCCTTTCGGTGAACATTTGCGAGTTTGGCTGTAACAGCCCAAGCCTACCGCCAATAGATATTGTCCTCTTTGGGCTTTCCCTCAAGGTTTTTAAAATGCCTCTACTATGGAGAGGGTCTATCCTACTATGACCAGTGTCTCACACCGTTTGATGACTGCTCTGATACCATTTGTAATAGCCCAAGCCCACCGCTAGCAAGTATTTAAAATGCATTTACTATGAAGAGGGTCTAGCCCTATTCCGACCAGTGCCGGACTCTGATACCATTTGTAACAGCTCAAGCCCACTGCTATCTGATATTGTCTTTGGGCATTCCAGGGCTTTCTTTAAAGGTTTTAAAACGCATTTGCTAGGGAGAGGTTTCCACACCCTTATAAAGAATGCTTCGTTCTCCTATCCAACCGATGTGAGATCTTACAGTACAAATTGGCACTAGGTTTGGGAATTGTACTTATTGGTTGCATTGTTCTCGTACCTTCAGTTTTTCTTTTATTTTCACTATTCTTAGTCTTTGGAAAATAACTTCCTCGACTTGTTGGTCTAAAAGGAGAACCAGTTCGATACATGTCAATTATGATGGCATTTAATGGGGGTGTACATTCTACTGTATAAAGGAGAACCAGTTCGATACATGTCAATTATGATGGCATTTAATGGGGGTGTACATTCTACTGTATTAATTTGAACTGTGCTGGAAAGCTGAAATACACAACATACTGAATACTTTTAGATAGATTTTAATTCTTACAGTAACAATATACTGACTTGAATATAGCTTTTGTTGTTCACAGCAAGAAATCTTCAAGCATGACTGAGTTGATATGAGCATTTTTTCAACTCCACTGCATCAATTGGTATATTTTCCTCTGGAAATCTGCATGTTGTAAACTTCTCGGCCCCCTGATCAGGTAACAGACTGCACGGTGGAGGTGTAACATTGCTCGTAGTTCCCTCCACATCAGTGCAAGTCCATGGCTGTTTCTTGGCCTTTGCTGCCAAGCTGATTGTCACATTGGAAATGCAGATACCTGTAAATGTGTCACCTGAAATTCCCTCCAATCTTGCTGCCATTGTGGCGTTTTCAACGACCATGTCCCTGTAGTTGATTCCTTGTATTACAGGCAATGCGTGGGGATCGTAATTCTCATCGGCATGTGACCCGTAATCGCCAGTCATCCAAAACGCCCATTTCATGGTATGCATTGTCATCCTCCTTACATATATGTCTTTTACATATCCTCCCCTTCCTATGCCTGTTTTGATCCTGACCCCAGATTCAGAATCAACGGCTACTATGTCTTCTGCTCGGACATCTTCGATTCCACCCGACATCTCACTCCCCAGTGCAATGACAGCACTTGTCGGGGAAACGCACGTGAGCCTTCTGATTACCAATTGCTTAGTTGGCCATCCAAATCTTATGCCATACTCGTCCCAGCCGCTCTTGACAGCTACACAATCGTCTCCAGATATTATGTAACAATCCTCAATTCTAACATTTGTGCAGGAATCTGCAGAATAAAGTGAGTCATTGGTATTGAAAGACGTATACGTTTTGAGAAAGTTGGTTTGGGATACGAACCGGGGTTGATGCCATCGGTATTCGGGGATCGAACGGGAGCGATAATCGTGATCCCTTGAATAAGAACATTGCTGTAGAACATTTGCAAGTGAATCAAATCATGTAGTGTTGGATTTCTGTACATATTTCTCTATGGAATAACTAATTGATTATACCTGCTGTAAACAGGATGAACATTCCAAGCTGGAGAATTCAGCAGGGTCAGATTCGATATCTGTATGTTGCTGGAATACATGATCTCGATCAAGTATGGTCGGGTGTACTTAAGCTTATTCTGATGAAACAGCTGCCACCAGCGATCACCTTGACCATCAATGGTGCCATTGTTTCCTGATGTACATTAGGTGAAACTCAAACGTTCAGACACCGATCAAGAAAAATGAGACAAGCTCCAACAGAGGTACGCTTACCTGTGATGACAACATCAGTGAGATTTGTTCCAAATATTAAACTGATGTACCGTCCCCCTGATGTGTCCCTTCCATGACCGTAGGATGGCAACGGTTCGACCACCGGCCATTCGTTCGGATCCTATTGAAGTAGTTGAAAATCAGTCTTAAGCTATAGATGAATCGAGACGATTCGTCCGATCAAATTTAGATAATTGTTCGTGCTCGTGGGGATGAACCTTGAGCTCGAGGTTGGTTACCCCCAGTTTTGACTAATCACTTCAGTTTCTTAAAGTCTTTGCCTTAATGACAACATCAAACTTACCCCATCTACCATAGCAGCCCCTCATCTAAAAGCTCAATATCTCTCCTAGAGTCGTACCTTCAACTTAATGGTGATTTAATATATTATTAAACTTGGAGGTTGTGAATTCAAACCAATTTGAAGCTCTTACCTATTTTATGGGAATGACGCATTTGAACTTCTAATCTCTCGAACAAAATGAATTTATACGGGAGGGAGGAATTTGAACCTCTAACCTTCCGAACAAAGTGAATTTTATAGGTGGGAGGAATTTGAACCTCTAACCTCCAGAACAAAGTGAATTCTACGTGAAGGAGGAATTTGAACCTCTAACCTCTTGAACAAATTGAATTTTATAGGAAGGAGGAATTGAACCTCTAAGCTCTCGAACAAAGTGAATTTTATGAGAATGACGAATTTGACCCTCTAACCTCTTGAACTTGAAATTTACAAGAAGATAGAATTTGAACCTCTAACCTACCCGACCCATAATGTGGAAGCAAAAGGCATCATCAACAATAGAAACTCCTTGTTCTCAACACTTGTAGCTATTCTCATTTTTATCCTTATTTAAAATTTTATTTTTTTAATTAAAAAAAAATGGATAGGGAACAAATATGAAGCTATCAATTCACGTGATGCTGCAACTCTATTATAAATATTAATTTGGATCTAGTAACACATCACTCGTGAACTAATATATAAATTATATATATATATTTAAAAACTAAAATTTTTAATTATTATTATTATTATTATTTTCATTTTTTTAAATTCAACCCCAATAAAAGATATATATATATATATATATATATNTTACAATAAAAGATATATATATATATATATATATATATATATATATATATATATATATATATATATATTTAAATTTAGAGGAAAATAAAAGGTTATTTATTTCTACCTGAGAAGCGAGAAGAACAGCATCCTGATGAAGAAACAGAGTGAAATGACTAGTAAGGTTGAAGCTGCCAGTGAGCCACCTCCCCGCCGGCACATACAGCTGAGCGCCGCCGTCCCCGGCGTACTGGCTCAGCCGCTCCACGGCCGCCTGAAACGCCTTTGTATTCGACGTTTCGCCGTCGCCAACACCGCCGAACTCCGTTATTGAAGCAGTGTGAGCTCTGCAACTAATGGCGCCATATTCAATCCCATTGTCCTCTAAAATCCTCGCCTTTCTTCCCTCAACTTCTCCCATCAACGCCGCCGCCAAAACAAGTACCAAAAACGTCATTTTCACCGCCTGTGAAAACAAGAACAGCATTTTAAATTTATTCAAAACTCCAAAAAAGTTATAAAAAAATTAAAAAAAGGTTGCAAGAATTTATTCAAAATACAAAAATGGGAAATGGGTCGGTGGATTTAAAGCTAAAAGGCATTAAAAATGGAAGCTTTTTTGAAGAGAGGCTGATGAAGGAAGCCATTGGAGAAGGTTCGTGTTTTTCTTACATCAGCTTTAATGGGGTTTTTGCAGAGTTCCTCCATTGGCATGATTTCAGAGAGAAACTGAGCTTTTTGGGGAAGGTGTGAGTGTGAGAGAGGATGGAGTGAGTGGGTATTTTTATAGAATGATTTTATTGTCAATAAATAATTTGTTTGGATAAATTTTTTAATTTGAGAATATTTCTATAAATAATTACCTACTTTATTCAAATACAAAATCAACACTAATGCATGTTAGATATTGTTTTTATTTTTTAATATTTTCGAAATGGTGAGACTTCTTTCTTATAAGGGTGTGGAAATCTCACCCTAACGAACGCGTTTTAAAATCGTGAGATTGACGACAATACATAACGGGCCAAAGCAGACAATATTTTCTAGTGGTAGACTTGCGACTATTACAAATAGTATCAGAGCAAGTCATCGAGTTGTATGCCTGTGTTGGGCCTCCTAAAGGATGTGGAGGATGGTAAGATCCCACATTCGTTGGAAGGGAGAACAAAACATTTATAAGGGTGTGTAAAACTTAACTGTAAGTCTGACAACAATACATAATAGAATAAAACAAATTGAAATTTTAACTCTTAATAGTCATTTTTTACTCTATTGAATTGAAAAAAAAAAGGAATTAAATTAAATAAAAAGAGTACGATTAAAATTAAATTAAATTAACCATAATTTCCATGCAAGATTTTGAGAATTATAATAAAATAAATATTGGGTAAATTAGAAGTAAAATAATGTTGGGAAATTTCAGCCACAGAAAATAATAATTTAAATTATATATATAAAAAAGTGGAGAGTACGATTTTACATTTCTACCCCTAACTTGATATGGTGGGTGGGTCCCACGTGTTGTCCTTATTGGAACTTTTTGAGTTTTGTTTGATCTCGTGAATCCTTTCTCTTTCATCTCTCTCTCTCTTCTTCTTCCGACCGAACCCACTTCGGCCACTCACGGGTTTTATAATAAAAATAAAATAAAATAAAAATAGATAATTTAATAATTCCATTAAAAAAATATATTATGGAATTAGTTCCAACAATTACTTCTTAAATAAAAAAATGTCCAAATTTCGATACTAAATATCAATATGAATGGAAATATGTGATTATATATATATATATATATATATATATATATGTTGGGAAGTGACCCATGTGTCGTTTATCTCATCGTAACATTCCGAACGCCATCCATTTAGGTTCTCTCTAGCATTGAACTCACACGTATCTCGGTAAACCATTTACAGCATATGGTCTAAATAGCAAGTGTATAATTCAACAAACGCATTTATTTTTAAAAATTCAAAGTGACACAGATCTGCCATTAGCATTTTGTGGATCGTCTCTAAGACTTTGAAGTTGGGGATTTTCTATCAGTTAAATTTGGACAACGATAACATTTTTATCCTTATCGTTAGCTGACTGAGGCAGATTCACTACAGGTTATATGTTGGCAAAGGAACTCGAGAAATGTAAAACATTTGTAATTATATGTTTTTTATGATTAAATTATCGAAGATTGAGTTTTGGTTCGTTTTTTTTTAATTATTTATGGTTTTATTAATACCATTTTCACTAGTACAGTCACTCCCTATCAGCTTTCTCTATTTGGGCTTCTTACGGCCCATTGTCCCTTTGGTCTCTCTTCAACACTTGGGCTTAGCGATCCAATATTCTTCAAAATGGGCCGTTTTACAGGCTCTACTGAAACTTGGGCCCCCATGAAATTGGACTTAGTTGGGCCCATTTAGCAATCCATATGACAAATCTCGACTTTAGACCACGTGCATTGCATGGGCCACGTTCTTTAAATATTTCCACCGCCTTATTCCTTAACACCGTCCAACTACCGGCCACCACCACCTTCCTCAACTTCCGGCCATCGCCACCTTCCCCAACCAGTAAGATAATATTTCTTGCCAAATTATTTTTTTAAAATATATTTATTTACTCATTTTGGAAAAAAAATAATAAATTAAAAATTGCATTTTTTTTTTAAAAAAATTGAAAATATGACAAATTTATAATTCAATTATAGATAAATTTAGACACTAAAATGACTTGATCTACTTTTCAGTTATGGGCGACACTAAATGATATGAACCAAAAGACATCAATCATACAATATACTTCAATGAAGATGTGAAGAAAAGGTTGTCAAAATTATCAAAAGATGTTTCAATTCATGCCACATTGAAGAAGAATGAAGTTTGATTGTTATAAATTTTGGGTGGGTTACAATTTAGAGTTATTGTATTTCATTTATGTATTTTAAGACTTTATTTACGGTTACAATTACATAATGGTTAATTATGGTCATTAGGTATGAATGTTACCACTCGGAATGACTTTATAGTTTCATTTTGAGGCTATATAAAGCCATGTATGTTGTATGTGTAAGAGACTTGAAAAATATAGTAAAAAGAAGCATTTGTGCTCTTCTTTAGCCAATGGCTAAGTTTCTTTGCAATTCTATGTAGTTTAGGTTGCATGTAGAATCATTCAAGCTCGACATGATCAATCTTGCTTGTGGAGTGATTCGAATCTCATGGAAGTGTTCTTGCCTTGAGATATTTGATCAACAAGAATCATTCAAGCTAGACATGATCGATCTTACTTGTGGAGTGATTCAAATCTCAAACAATGTTTTTGCCTTGAGATATTCGATCAACAAGGTAATCCGAATCTTACTCCCCTTGTAGTGGTTCATTTTCTTATCACTAAACCTAACACGACTAAGTTTCCCAAATGGGTCGTCAATTTTTTTCAAATATCGAGTATAATTTGGACAATTATGTCATTTGTCAAAAAGTTTTCTATAGAGGAAAGATCTCCCGAGATTCTTATCTCATTCCATTCTAGTGGCTCAACCAATACCTAATGTGCGAAAACCCAAAAATCTATAGTTTTCTGGCGAAATAAAGATGGACTGAGCTACTTATTGATATAATCACAGTTAACATCACCGTAGTCAGACTATCAAATGCGAAGTCATAAGAATATTACGAGTCTGACCCTTTTGCAAATTTAGCGAACTCCTTTTTCGTATAATGATTTAGTGGTAAACCTCTCGTTCAGTTTTTATTAAATTATGGGACAATTTGATGAATAAATAAATAAATAAAAATGGTAAATAATTTTTTTTATAAAAAGTAAACAAATTCAAATAATTTCTATTTTTAATATGATTTAGACATCAAAATAAAATAAAATAAAATAATTGTACAAAATTATGAAGTAGCCGCCCCATTAAAGGCCAGCAGCCATGACCAAAAAATGCCAAATTAAGGAATGCCATTTTTTACACGTGAGAAAATCCATTAAATAAATAAATAAATAAATAAATACAAATTTCATTAAAAAAAAAAAAAACATTTATTAAACGACAAAATGGCAAGAACTCTTTCTTCCCAAATTGCATCTAAGATTGAACTTCTATTAATAAATTAAAATTCACTCATTTTTTTAATCTAATAAATTCTTAAATATTCAATTTTGTATTTAGTATAACTCCGTTGAAATGTTTAACAGTAAGTCGACGTAACATGATTTGAAACAATATGATAATAGTGTTTTATCACGTCCACTATGACACTAGAATAATACAGAGGTACATAAATGAACTGAGATGCTTAAAAGAATTGAAAGTTGCTACTTATGAATGAGCCCGAGCCAGAGACGCGACACACATGAACCCACCAACAAGGTTCAGATTGTTTTTCAGTGACTCAATTTAGAAACTTCATAGTTAAGCGTGTTTTGTATGTTGGGTGACTTATTGAAAACTTTTCTTAATACATGTAAGTGATGACAAAATATACTAGAACTCATGTTGGTTCCGTAGTGATAATCTTTACTCTTTAGAAGTAAAGAGTAAGTAATGTGATCATGTCACAGTAGATGAATGTCGGGACCATTAGATATCGAATCCTGGACATAGGCGTTTCATTAACCGTTCTTCCAACATTCTAACAAATATCTAATAATTATTAAATATTTATAAAAGGTCGAGTAATATATTGAAAAAGTAATGGATTGTTTTCCATGCAAAAAGCATGGTTTTGAAATTTTTTTTGTGGCACATTGGAGGATGAAAAATTGTCTCTAGTTTTGGGTACAATAATGTGACCCTAAGTCTACCAATAATCAAACTCTTTTCATATAGTCAATATTTCATAATTGTAAAGACTCATTTAACCGGTTGGATCGGGGCCAACAAAAACCCGCTTCAAATGGGTGAAAAATCTCTATTTAGATGAGGAATGGAGAAGGGAATGAGGAGAGATTTCTCCCCGTTAGTTAATCTGGGTCGAGGACGAATATTAGATTCTCAGTCTCGATTCCCACCTCCGACCCTACCCTGCCTCACTCTACTTACGTAAATAAAGAACTTGATCCATACGAATTTCACAAGGACGAGAATTGAAATTGTGGACACGGAGGGAACGAGAAAAGCGTCCTAGAAACAAAATTTTAAAAGTATTTACCTCTTCAAAACCGTCAAGTTTAAATCTTAAAATTTCCGACCGAACAAAAAACACTATTTAGTTACAATTTTATCCTCGTACTTCCATCCATCCATTCGAAACTATTGGCTTAGCTGAGTGATTTCCGGGAAGAAACACAAAAAGTTTATTTATTTATTTATTTATTTGAAAGAGGGTTAAATAGTCATTTCACATAGAAAAAAGAAATCCTATAATATTTATTCGAAAAAACAAAACCCCCTCTTTATTTCTGGGAAATTGCCCAAATATGTAATTGCAAGCGACTGGCTATAAAATCCCTCAAACGCCTAACAACGTATGGCATTCCCTTCCGCCACAGCCGCCGCCGCCGCCGCCCGTCGCAGTTCCCTTCCAAATCCAAATCTCCACTTCTCTCTGTTAAATACAAAAATCTCTGCTTAATCGATGAACCGCCGCCGATCGGAATCGGAAACGGAAACGGAAACGGAAACACCTACCTCTCCGACCGCCATGGGCTACCCCGTAGGCTACTCCGACGTTTGTATCCCGAACGCCTTCCTCCATCTCCTTTTCTTCCTCGGCTATATTCGAAGCCTCATTATTTCAATCTTCCGATTTCTAGGGCTTTTCGAT